TTTTTTCAAACTTCTAAAATTTTATCTTTGTGTATACGTCGAAAGTTTAATTAGTCTAATGTTGACAACTTTTTTTTGAAACATCTTTTTCAAAACACGGCGAAAATTTAATTAATAATGGATCTCCGTATTTCTCAAGGTTAATCTAATGCTTCGGTCGTCCGGAACAGTTGATAATTTTCTTTTAGTATTTCGTAAAACAGTTTTTCTCTTATACTAATCAATAATTTAATAGTTTTTACATTTCTATCACAAAGTTACACTTTCATGAATATGTTACAATGTTAAATGTAATAATTTATTAATTTTTTGTCGGCTGAATCTGGGTTTACATTCTCGTGATATTAATTTTTAAATCAGAACTGTATGTTAATAGAAATTTCAGAAATGTATATTAAATAGAAATTTATATAGAGAGAAGTTATGTAGTCAAAAATTGAAATAAGCGGTGATTGTCGCTTTAGAATAATCTCGCAACATATAAAAATTGTTTATTGTTTCAGATAGCAAGAAATATGTATATTATATAACTGTCCTTTCAATTCGTTTTTCTTTTTTCATTATGTACAATAACGAAGGCATCCGTGGGTGAAAATATAGATTGACTACTCTCTCACCTATTTCGGTGATTTTTGAATGTATTACAGACCTGGCAATACTGTCCATATTTTTTGATTTCAGCAAAACTTGCTGAATCGGTACGATAGGATATGGCATGAAAATGGTAACGGGGCATCGATGTCCCGAAATCGGGTGACCGAAAAAATACATTGGATGCTTGGTCTATTATACCTCGTTCGTGGTACCTCTTAATGATTTTTTACCATGTCGGTATCTCAGAACAGGTATCACAATATTCTATAAGATATCATATCTATTCTGTACCTAGTCTATGCTGTATGTTCTATCCCTTTCTTATGTTCCGCAAATACTGTTTCTTTTGATTGCATTTCGTTAAACATTATAAAGAACATAGTAAAACCTCCAATTTTTTATACAAAAAATGTTTCGGAGCGTGTGATATTCCATGAAATTTTGTCCTGTCTGTAGTGATAGAATGTGACATCTATTTTATGTGTGGTATAGTTTCTAAATTTCAAATTGTAGAGGGCGTAAGGAACAATTGACGTCGCCTCTGCATTGATTCTCTGCACGGTCGATACTACAGTTCTCTGTATTTCTATCTTTAAGATGTAATGTTCTTGAAATTAAATATATTTTCTTATAGGAATATCATTAAAAAACGATCAAATATCTATTCCTTAAAAACTACTTATTTTAACTTACATGGAATTTAAATATCGTTTACGAGGAATAACCTTAAATAAATCCAAACCATTGAAAATGGATCTAATATTAGTTTTTTTCCGAGTTTCATAAATATATGATTATTTCTAAACCTCTTTAAAATAAACTTCATCGAAATAATCGGAGTATTTTTCCAAGAAAATATATGATGCAAGTGTAGAGAAAAATACAAAACATTAAATCGCATGATATTTATATAAATCAGCTGTTACAAGCCTTCTTTCTATTTCTTTCTGTCCTTAAATACGCAAGAAAGATGGAACAGTGCTCTCGATACGAAACAGCTGATTATTCAATCAAAATTTCGTTGTTAAAGTGCGAAGTACAGTTATCTCGGATTCAACGTACATGTACAGTTCGATTGTATATTTGCGATTAAAATTCAGAGTGAATTTAGAATAGTATTGCCTCTTTGGCTAAAATGTCACGATTTTACAAACTTTTTAAGAAGAGAAGGTGCTCTGTAATTGGGATGATACATGTTGGTTCATTACCTGGTATAAAATTTTCATCATACATAAAAATACATAAAATTAAAGAATAAAAATAACGCAATGAGTTCTTTTCGTACATAAAGCATCCAAAATATTGCTATAATTGTTGGAGATTGGTGGAACTAAAAAGTCAGTACTGAATAAAGATTATTGATTAATGGTTTTATCATTCTTAGTACAAGGAGAAAATATCAGCTGTAAATAACATTATTTTTCACAGTGACAATAAATTAATAATATCTAGCAAAAATATGTTTTTGAAAAATATCTCTTTAACAATAAATGACCTGCGTTTCATTTGATAATTATTTTTGAACATCATCAGATCATGAACCATTATTAATTACTGAAGTAACACTTTTTAGGAACACCTTCGTACAATGGAAATACCAAACAAATTATAAGCAATGCAATAAAAGAAGCAGTAATTTATAGTGAATGTAACATAGTGAGTTTAATTATGCAAGCCATCTATTGTTAATCTTGTGGCTTATAAATGTGGTTTATAATTTACATTTAAGGATGGTATCTTAGTGGAAAATATGCATGACATTCCATATGTAAGGCCCAAAGATTTAACACCTGAAATTACAGCAATGATGACCAGGATTTGCACAGAAATAAGAAAAATATTACCTGAAAATATACCTTGTGGTATACAGGTACAAACCAAAGAATTTATTACATAAAATGATACAGAGAAGAAATCTGTGAGATGAACCAGAATGAAATAGATTTTAGCTGGATGTAACAAAGAAGCAATAGCTGTGGCAAAGGCAGCAAATTTTCAATTTATTAGAGCAGAAGGATTTGTTTTCTCTCATATTGCTGATGAGGGCTTTACAGATGCATGTGCTGGCACTTTGTTGAGATACAGAAAACAGATTGACGCAGATGATATTCTTATTTTTGCTGATATTAAAAAGAAGCATAGGTAATTTATTAATATACTTGAAAAGGGGTGCTCATTTCTGGCTTGACTTTTTCATAGTCTAATGTAAGAATCATGACATTTTGTTTCTACAGTTCACATGCAATCACTTCTGATGTAAGTTTATCAGAGGCAGTAAAAGCAGCAAAATTTTTCTTAGCTGATGGAATAATACTGACAGGGGCCGCCACTGGTGATCCAGCTAATGTTTCAGAATTTACAGGTACTTTTCTTTGTTTTGACATATTTCTATAGAAAAATTGTAATGAAAAAAAATCACGCTATATAGAGATTAAACAAACCATTGAAATACCTGTTCTTATTGGCTCTGGTATTACAAAAAACAATATAAAAGATTATTTAACATCTGACGCAGTAATTGTTGGATCACATTTTAAAGTTGGTGGAACTTGGGAAAATAAAGTTGATAAAGAGAAAGTGAAGAATTTAATAGGGAAGTTAAAAATGTTACAGGAGACGCACTAATATTTACTTTTAAGAAAATCAGATTTTTTTAAATACCATTTTTGTATTCATTTGTAATTATAATTAAAGATATACTGTGTGTTTTCTAGAATTTTTTACGTTTCTTATTATTGCTAAACCGAGTTGATAGTTAATTAAAAATTGTAAAATGATTGAAAAAATCAATTACAATCGTCAGTTTCATGGAACCTGTCCTCTATAGTACATGAATAAACTTTTGACGAGAGGATAGGGGCTGTTATCAAATTTATTGCAATAAAGCCATGTTGCTTAAGGTTGAGACAGTGATATTAATTTTATCTCTCTGCAGAGCATTTATTATTTCTATAAATTTCCTTAAAAAAAAAGAGACAGAGAGAAAAGAGAGAGATTAGTAATTCAACGCTAACGTGACATCAGAATTTCTCTTATCTTGAAAGAAACTTTTCAAGATCATTAAAAAACTTATCAAGCTTTTAAATCAATGACTAGTTTATCACTTACAATTAGATAAGTTTTCTCTGATAAAATTTCGTTCATATTTCCATTTCTGCTGCCGACATAGTAAAACTGTTTCATGATATAAATTCGTGGCAAATACTAAATTATAATTTGCATGATGATAGATGCCAAAATGCAGACGTCAGTGCTCATGATACAGAGAATATGCCAAGGGGCAATTCAGTTCTTATTATTATTATTAACAAATATTATACACAATATAATATGTATACGAAATATTTTGAAATATTAACATTATAACGAGATTAGATTGTCATAAGTGAAAATCTTGAAATAAATTAGATAATGCTATGATACGCAGACATCACAAAAGTATTCAAATAATTTTTAAAATTATCCATTGTATTAATAAACTTCAACATTTAGTGAAATCATATTGAACATATCACAATATATTCTGTATATATTATCAAATTCGTTTCAAATTTGATTAATATAATCAAGACCGTGTTTCTCTATAGTGGACGAAATTTTAACGCGTTTTATATATTGCGCATGTACAAGTGTACAAATAAAATATTTTTATGATAAATAATTTTATTAGATTCGCCTTTGTGAATTAACAACTTATAACCCGTAATATATTTCTCTATTTTTCGCTGTGCAAATTATTTTCACTGTCAAATTCTTGAAAGTTTCGAAATAATATTCTCAAATTGTTGGCATCTTTTTCATTCGACCAAACATTCGAGTTATTCACAACTCGATATCGCATTAATAATTTTTTCATTAGAAAAAACGGAATATCCGAATAAGTTCCCCTTTTACATTTTTATCGTAACTTTATTTTCGTGCTTCCCTACCGCTCAATTATCTTCCTCCCTCTACGCATATACATATATCTCGTAACAGAACATTAAAAATCCATTAATTTTTTTTTCCGCGTGTTTCAAACGCATCTTTTCGTCCAAGTGTAATTCTTTGTCTCTAATTACTCTTATTAAAAATCAATTAGTAAAAATTCTAAGACAGAAAAAAAAATAAATCGTGCAATCGATAGATTCCGAATTTGTTTGATACATCAGTAATATATATACCAGATGAAAATATTAAGAGTTAGTAATGAGAAATTTATTTGAAAAGATTGAGCCATAGATTTCTTCACGAACTTCCAACATTTCACGTTTGACATTGTCAAATTAATAATAATAAAAGTTTCTGTGGGATGTCGAAAGAATGATTTGAAAATTCAGGAAAAAAGAAAAAGAAATAAGTGAAACTCGTTTCAATGTATTTCGAACTTAGCTGATTGTTTTCTACATCAGTCTAGTTAAAAATTAACGATACAGCCTATCTGAAACTAGGTTGATGACAAAAATTTCTTCGAAAAGCCAACGACAAAGACGTAAGATTTGGACGATAAAAAAAAAAAAGTGACTCAAAGAGGTGACTTGTAACAAGGGTTTCCAGAAATCAATGCCAAAAATGGAGTATATGCGATACTGGGTCGTAGAAAACAAAAAGTTTCTCATGTACGGTTGGTTACTGCCGTGCATTGACTCGTATCAATCCAACAGGGAAACGGAGGAATCCCCCAAACAGTATTGACAGGGCCGACTCGCGCAGGCGTCCCATCCACCGCCACTATGCCACTGTTCAACAGTGGTATTCCAATCTCATTCCATTCACTTCATAAAATCCATTTTTATTCCATCCTCGGATCTCCACTCTCGTTTTAATTTTTCGTCAATTCCGTCATACGCACGTCCGCGTACATACCTATCAGCGCGTAATAGCAGCGCGCGCATGCTTCCATAACCTCTTCCTCCCATTCGTAAACAACGATAAGATTACGATTTGATTTACGAATAGCTCTGATCCAACAAACGAAGCTCCACTCGACTTTTAAAGAAATATTACAGCATCGTTTCCCATTGGATATCTACAGTTTAGGCAAAAGTATTGACTAGATATATAATCTAGGTATGTAGGAAGGACCTACACTACCTCCAGACTATAGACTTTGCGCTTCTCAAAGACCTCTTGCGATTTGACAAGAAATGACAAGAGGCAAAAATTTACATGTGTATTTGACAGCTACGTCGAACACATTTGCAACGTGGAACATGTAAACGAGATGCAAAAACCTAACCTAAATAGGTACCAACAAAATTTCTGACAGGCGTCAATCATTTCGATTGAAAAGAAAAACAAGAAGAAAAGATACGTGTGGCCAGGAGGATTTGACGTTTCGGCTATCGATTTTTTTCGTCACTTCATTTTGAGAAACACTGCTACATATGATGCCATCTTGCCACTGCGGGCGACGCGATGTCGCTACGAGCTAAATAAAACTATTTTGTTTCCTAAGAAACGGAAAGGGGCCATTCTCAGCTAGTTTTTCCCAGAAGAGGCAGTCGTACCCAGGTAGATTTTTAGTCCCAAAAATAGAATGCGGCTACGATTTTTCACAAGATGAAGGGAAATACCTTCGGCAGAGCAGGTAAAAAGGAAGTTTTCCAAGTGTCGCAACCAGCGACCAGCAGCTGTTCGCCCAGCTGAGCGTTCTCCCACCACCGATTCGTTTTCACCACCGAATCAATGAGCCGTCAGGCCCCTCGTCGAATGCTTCGCTTCCGCTCTCGGAAGATACCTCTTCGTTTATAAAAATACGTGCCGTCGTACGTTAAATTACGAAAGATCTCCGTTGCGTCATTGGACGTTGCTAAAAGTTGCCTTGCACGCGTCCGGGTGTGAATTCTCAACGGTCAAGATGAAGGTCAGCGTAAAAATAAAAATCATCCGAAATACGTTTTGCGCTGCATATCAGCCGCGATTCCTCTGTTCATTGAATTTCCTTAACAATTGCACGATTGGATTTCACGATGGACATTGTAGAGTCCGTTGAAGGTGATTCCACGTCTATATCTCGCGTTGTATAAATAACGACGAGTTAAGCATTACATTATCACCGCGCTACATATTTTATACGAGTGGCTCGCACAGCCAGCAACGAAGTCACGGAGCCGTTCATTGATTTTCTACTTCCTGCATTTGCGGTTCTTTCGATTTCGTGCTTCTTACACCCCACGCGATTTCCAATCTCCGTGTCCCTTCCAAAAAAAAAAAAGTGGCATCGTCTATCGAACGAACGTCCCTAGATAGGTAGATAGATTTGTCCACATGAAGAAGCGTGGCTGGATTATTAAATCCACTAGAACGAATTTATAAACCTGAATGATAGAGTCGGGATGACCTTCGATCGAAAACGGATTGTCGGATTTTCTAGATTCGGGTAAGATTCGGCGAAATACAGACAGCGAGAAGGAAAGAGAGGAGAGGATCGATGCGAGAAATGGAGGTGTCGTACGATGGTACGGCCCTGATATCGCTTTAAAAGCCCTCCCCACCACTCGGCCACCCCCACCGTGGTGTTGTACTTCGGCTCTCGCCCCTCAGCAACGGCTTGACTGCCCAGCCAGCCAGCCAGTCGAAATCAGCTGACGACTATTACTGCGGGCAGTTGCTACCACGGCTCCTCGGACGCAACACTGTTCAGGCGAGTGGATCCTTTTCTCTTCATACACTTCTTTTTCTTCCTCGCGCTCTTTCTTTCTCCAAACACACGAGAGACGGGTGTCGCTTCTTCTTCTTCTTCCTCTTCTTCTTCGTCTTCTTCGTCTTCTTCTTCTTCGTCGTCGTCGTCGTCTTCGTCTTCGACTGGCCAGTGTGTCGTGTGTCGTGGGGGGTCAACGAAACCCTAAGGCATCGCGCGGAGCACCGATACTAAACACACCGCGACAACGATTCTCAGTCACTTGTAAGTCGAGATAAAGAAAAGAGTCGAAGGGCTGAGTTACGAAATACCACCACCCCCTGTTCGAGACACGGGCCCGTTCGGTTTAATTGGTTCGGTACCTCTTCGCTACTAACGTTGTGTTGGTATATATCGCGAGTGAGTGCGACCAGGGGAGGAAGAGAGTAACGAGACTCGAGTGGGACAGAGATAGTTAGATAGTAAGAGAGACAGAGGCGAGTAGTGTGTAACGAAACGAAGAGGGATGTTCCGTTCCGTTCCGTTTCGTGGGAGAAGGGACCGATTCTCTGGCTGTGTGTGCGGCCACAGAAGCACGAATGCGTGTGCGTGAGTGTGCGGGGTATCCCGCGATGCGTCGTCCCGTGCGTCCGTGTGGGTTTCCTTGGGTCTCGAACCACCTAATTGTTACTGCGTGGAAGGAAAACTACTTTCGTAGGCGCCCACTTATTCCTTGTCCCTATCTGACGGGAAGAGAGAGAATGCCAACGCGAGAAAGACGAGAAAGAGAGAGAGAGAGAGAGAGAACGATAGAGCGTGAATTCGAGATCAAGGTCGTTGTCACAGAGAGATAGATCGAACACGCGTCCTCCTGGTATACGTCTACGTACGTCGTCGTACGTGCATATCCTATATGCCCCCGCAAGTGTGTGCATACACGGAAATCACAGTTTTTCGACGCTCGCGTGTACGTGATCCTTCAGTCGGTGTCAAGGCACGTCGGTGCGCGGCGAGTAGAGGGAGCGATGATACCGACCGAGCCGCGGTGTAGGGGCGCGCGTTCCGTGAAAGTGATTAGAAGAAGACAGAGAGCGGCCTTGTAACGCGGTCAGGATCGAAGTGCGAAGATGTAGAGCCGTGGTTTTGTGCGCGTCGCGGTGATAGAGCACGAAAAATAAGGAGGAAGGATGCGGCGAGCGGGGCCGAGCGAGACGCGGATATATCACTGTACGTATGTACTGTACAGTAGCAGCCGGCAGGGAACATTCGATCGAAACAATGCAGTAGGCAAGTAACACACTTGGTAACCGACCGCTTGATCGACGCACGATTGTTGTTGGAAGTGCAAGGGCAACCGGGGGGCCAGTGGTTGTCACCGTGTGCCTTTTCCGCTCGTCCCCCTCGCTTTTCTCAATTCCTCAAGCGTATCTACGACGCTGTTCTTTCAAACGTCGGATGGCGCAACGCTCCGCGGACAAGCCAAACGTGTCTATTCTCGATATATATCGATACAACAGACGCGTCCTTTTATCCAACGGCACGGAGAGAAACCGTTCTCGAGCAGTTTCTTCATCCCTGGCTTCGGTGGCGCGCGCGGGATTTCGATTCGTCAAACGAGTTTGTTTACTCGGACGACTAGGAAGCGTCCATGGTAGGGATGGATAGTTGTCGGATAGAGCGAGTTGGACGGAGAGCTGCCGTCTCGTTTTATCGGGCTATCTCTCTGTCTCTGTTGGTCGGCTTGGCAGTCTCTGTTCGACGATTGTCGTATTGGCGACGCTACGACTGCCTCGGTAAGAATATCGTACGACTTAATGGGAACGCTGGATCGATGTTTTCGCTATCGAATTTTTAGACCATCGATCGAGCCTGTGATCGACTGTTCAAGGTGAAGTTGTGGGATGACGTTGTGCGTTGACACGTGCTGAATTTCGTTCTTTTCTCTTTGTCCCGCGTCTCTTGAAACGTCATTGATATTCGTGACCTAGTGCGAGAGACTATTATGAGTTAGGTTGATCAGTTTGGAGTATTAGTCGAGTTCTCTTCTTGTCCGAAAGAGCTTGAATCTTTGAATCTTAAAAAAAAAAAAAGAAAAAGAAATTGCCCCGAGATAGTATTTGATCATTGATAATCACAGTTTAATGTTAGGTTAGGTTCCTCAATTTCAATTTCATATTTTCTATTCTCTCTGAAGGAATTATACGCAGGAAGTACAAAATCTCGAAAACTTCCCGTCCGAAATTTATTTCCTTTCTAAGCTTTCCAACGTATTCCAAAAACTAATCCCAAGGGTACATCATCCTCTAATAAATTGTATACACGTAACAGTGGCTGAATTACCAAACGAGTCCCAAAATTAGAAGCCTCGTATAAACTGTACACTTTGTGTACTTTACGTAATAGAATTCTTGATATTGTTGAAACGACAATTAAACTTCACCGTGGTCTATTTCGATCCGTTCGCCGGAGCGAAGTTCACGGCGAAGGTTTTTTTCTGAAAATCTCGAAATCGCAACATCGAACGTCGAACGAGATCGGCTGAAATGGCTGGCCAATTCAAATCCTCTTAAACAGTAGAAAACGGTGTTTTCCTCTCGGAAAGGGATCCTCGCCTCTTCTATTTCGGCCTTCGATCGATCGTCTCGGGCATAGTATTATTAGAAAGCTCACAAACCTTGTCGGAGGATTTCGTCGTTGGACGTCTCTCCCCTCAGTTGCGAACTTTTCCTCGTATATCGCGTTCCAGCTTTTCCGCTGCCCGTCAGAGAACACATTGACCCCGTTTTAATCGGCAAATTCGTCGCCAAGATGCCAACGCGAGTTTGCTCCGCGTGTTATGTAAACTGCCGCGTTACATAATCTTTCGCGATGGAAACGGAAATGCTTCGCGATCGACGAAATGTACTCGCGAGAAGTGGGCAGAAACTAGAACGATGTAGAACCGAGTATCGTTTCGAGTAAACTGCGGACTTCAAATGAGAAATCCAAAGGTGCAGAAACAGAGACGCGACAAAATTCTGTTCTCCGTTTCAAAATCTCGGGAAAAATTTCTTTCGTACGTTTCTTTACAGGGGTATGCAATCACACGAAGATCGATGGTCTAGATCGTTAGTTTCGAAGTATCGTCAATTTAGAAATTAGAAATCTGACAATCAATAAGCGTGGGTTTTCTACGTGCTTTGGAAGCCTGACAAATAGCTAAGCTTCAGAAGCCTGTTAATACAACTTGACAAATTTTAATTTTTTTAAATTTATAATAAAACGAGTAACGTCTAAATACACACTTTGAAAATAACATTCTCCACATCCCGAAACTAACTCCGCCCCAAGTCGAAAAGAAAGCAAGTGAACAATTAACAAAACTGGCAAAGATGGCACATTCCATGGGTTCGAACTATTTTCTCAGCTATTAGAGCGTCCTTTCTCGTGTCTAGCCAATGAACGGCCGAGTTCATTGAGGCTTTTCCTGGAAAGCGAGATGGATTCGGTGTAAGAGGTCGCGACACAACGGTCTTCCGTTGCAGGGGCGCTCTCTCTGCGCTTGCCCCGAGAGAGTGAAAGAGAGAAAACAGATGAGGAGATTCAACTACGAGCCATCGAGAATCGTAAATTATGACGATTGTCTCTGGGTACCGTTAGAACTGAATTGATGATTAGTAGGCTGCTACACACTCTCTGTCTGCAAGAATTTAGGCGGTAATGTGAAACGTCCATTAGCTCGAACACACGGTTCCGATAGGCCTCATGAGCCACATGAGCCAACTCTCTGTTGGTTCTTTTTTAGAGGGCGTTCGTTTGAACTCTGTGCTGGCCTTGGCTTTTATTTTGTCGTTAGAATCGTTTGGGAAAGCTACGTGTAGAGGACAAAGGCCGTTCCGTCGGAAGAAAAATTTTCGTTTCTGAATTCTTCTCCCGTTTCCCTTTTGTACTAATATTTTTGTACGTGAAGTTATCCACGATAATTCGAGATTGGAATTATTTCTGTGCATCAATTTTTGTATAGGTACGTATACGTTTAATTCTTAATTGGTATTATTGCGCAGTTAGGGGTGCGTATGCCTTAATGTTATTTATTTTTATTATTTAAAAGATTTCTACCAATATACTTTAAACTAATGTACATTGGCCTTTAGAAATACATTTTCATTTTTGAAACTTTCCATTTAGAGGTCATTGTCCCAGTGTCATAAAATTCAAGTAAGTTTCTTCTTACGATCCTTAAATGGAAATTGTACTACAGGAAATGGATCGTCTCGTTCACGCTGAATGGTTGGCAGTATTTCGTTGGAATCTTGTTATTAAATATTATCTTCTTGCTCTTCCCATTAAAATCTAACTTCTGCTTCAGTAAAACACGACACGTTAAGATTCAGAATATAGAATTTCGAAAATGCTTATATCTTGATTATCAATTCGAGGGCTTAATAAAAATCTAGTACAAACGTACATAACTATAAGTAAAATAAATAACTTTATTTTACTTGTCTCAAGTTTCAGGAAATTTAATGTTTTTTTTAAGATACAATAGAAATGTAAATTTCTATCTTAGTATCTTAATTTCTAGAGATCTACGAGTTTTTCTCAAAAAAGAAAAAAGAAAAAGAAAAATTGCCACTTGCGCGAATTTTCATCCTTCGCTTAAAGTTCATAAAATTAAAGTGAAATTGTAAATAAAAAGGTTTCACACGCCCGATTCCAAGCGAAATTAGTCAAACTTTGCAAAGTGCAAAGTTCAGAATTGTCTGAACTGATGGGAAAAAGGAGAGAAGCGGTCAGGCTTTCGACTGTCTTGAGAATCGAGAGCGCGTTGCTTCTCGAATCACTTAACTTGACCGTGAGTCACGCTGTATTTTGCGTTGTAACTATTACCACGAGCCACGATAACACGTGAAACGCGTTCTTATTACCGTCCAATAATAATTTACAATCGGTAACAAATGCCTTTCACCATCGCCACCTGTGTTCTTTG